CTCAGTTCCTTCTCTCAAACAAACTGAAGAGAATCACACTTCTGTCTCTGTCAACACCAGTACTAACTCCTAGAAACAATACAAAATAAGTGCATGAGAGTTATCCAAGGAGCACCCTGATGGACACGACTAGTCAACCTGCGTCTCGAAACGAAATTGGTGCCTCTCCAAACAAGAATCCAACAGAGTGATGCAGGACATGTCTGCAAGTTAGTATCACGACATAATCCTCCCCTACTGAGAGATCGATTCATAGAACTTCTCACAGAACCAAGAGGCCCTCTACCTGGCTCACTTCCATGGCATAGCGCAGTGTTTGGATGTATAATAGACACTTTAAACTTGCTTCCAAGCTTAAGGTCACGTAACATAGACCGTCCACACCATGGATACCGAGAACCACATCCTTGGGAATCTAAACTTTTCACAGTCATTGCAAACCTCTCGACGTCGAAGGCCAGATATATTCACAATGACTCGACAATTCTAAACCACCATCGACCTTCTACACAGATGTATCAGTTGAACAACAAACAGGCAGAGCTGGAGCTGCATTCACGTGTGAGGGACAGCTTCGTGGCCAAAGACTCAGTAATGACACCACCATCATTCAGGCAGAACTTTTTGCCTTAAGGGCAGCACTAACTTGTGCACTTAATTCCACTAAAACCTCAGTTTACAGTCTCATAGATTCGCTTTCAGCGCTATACACACTACAAAAACAATACCATAAGACAATATCCAGCTAATTACGTCCAGCAACTGCCGCAACAAGGAAAATCAGTTCGACTAATGTGGATCCCCAGCCATGTTGGCATCCTTCACCTGCAGAACATCAACATCGTCTTTAGCTAGGAAGGCTGCATACCAGATAATAAGAATCCAGCATCAGGTCTGGGTACAAGCAGACTCGCCATCAGCGTCTGGGCACAGGACCGTCACAGAATACGAGACTACAACAGTCCCCAGGACCGTCACAGAATACGAGACCATAACAGTCCCCAGGACCGTCACAGAATACGAGACCATAACAGTCCCCAGGACCGTCACAGAATACGAGACCATAACAGTCCCCAGATCGATGTCACGAAAGGATTCAGTAATGATACACAGGCTTCGTCTCAACTATCGATGGAGCTGGGAGATCGCTGAGCGTACGAAATGTATCCATTGTCAAACAATTACCGAAATGTCACAATCATCACTAAAAGGCTTTAGGAATGTGATGCGCTTGCAGCCGTACGACCACACATACATCCTGAAGAGATTGTAGCAGCAAACTGTGCATATTAGAGGAGGAAAGGAAACTTCAATCACTCTCCGCATAAAGTATTATCCACTTTATGCACAACAAATACTGAAACCCATTAAAAGACCATAACAACAGGATAACAAAGACTGGGGTAATTAAGATAAATAGATTAATTGATGATAATGATAATAAAAATAATAATAATAATAGTTGTGTATCAGGTTTTATTTCTTTAACATAAAGCGACATTTTTATCGAGATGTCCATAGGAAATAAGACTATATATATATATATATATATATATATATATATATATATATATATATATATATATATATATATATATATATATATATATATATCTGGCAATGAGTAAGAGCGGTGTCGTTGTTTTGGTCAATGATATTTAAGTGCTAAAATTACGTGTCAAAAGTGATCTGTGATAGTGTTACACATGAGAGAAAAAATCGTGAATGTATAGAGCATATGACCCAACCAAAATAGAAATAATATTTCACCTCACAAGTTTAAAGAATGTATTACCGGTCCACACTTACGTGGACCTTTTAAACTAACAGGAGTGCCAGAAAGTGCCAACTAGGAATACTAGGATGCATTACCGTGTTAGATAAGTTCATAAGCTCATCGAGAGTGCTACAATATTCAGAATCAGTGAAAAAAATCTCCTTCCAGAAAAAGTATTCCAAAATACGAAAGCATTAGGAAATGATAAGCAACACCTGTGCCACAGGTCGCCGAGTAACAGTGCCAACCGTGCGGGTAATACAGTTTCCACTCAAGTAGATTTGTTAAGGAACAGTCAACCGGCCAGTATGTAAGTGCAGTGCATCACAAAATCAAGTAGGTTTAAAAATGGTTCCCATAAAGCGTAAAGTATCATCTGCCATTCGATAGAAGAAACGCCAGATAAACCAAGTATTAATGAAGTGTAATTCAAGCATTGGCACCTCAGATGACGCCAGACGCCAGACGCTGACACCACGACCTGTGGTCAGCTTAGGGCGCCCTGTTAGGCTTAACATGGGCTCATTATAATGGAGTGCGTGTGTGCGCCCATGCAGACACTATTCATACGTTCGTGCGCGAGTATGAGCGCGTATGCACGAAAGTGCGCAGGTGCATATGTGCGCATGTACATGCATATATATATATATATATATATATATATATATATATATATATATATATATATATATATATATATGTACAGGTTCATATAAGTGTAGGTGCGTTTAAATTCATGTGCGGATACCTGGGTACGTATGCTGCTATTTGTCCATGTATGGCTATAAGCTGCCATATAGCTTGTGATAGAGTACAATATGTATGGGTATGTCCCGTGCTTGTACATGAGGGTATACATGTGTTTCAAGGCGTAGATATGCAAATTTGTATGTATGGTGTATATATTCATGTATGAATGTGTACATATACGTGCGTATATATGCATGTATATATGTGTATGTGTATATAGGTATATATAATGTGCGTGTATACGTGTATGTATGGGTGTATGTATATGTAGACATAAGTAGGTGTGGGTAATTATATGTGTATATGCACATGTATACGTATATATGTGTGTATGCATATGTGTAGGAAGGTGTATAAATAATTAAGTATATGTATGTATGTACGTATGTATGTGCATAAAGGTATTTATATGTAAAGCAAGTACAGGTGTATACACATATATATATGGGGGGGGGGACATTAGTGTATGCTTGCAAATGTATGTGCTCATACACGGATGCGTAAGCATATGCATGGATAGATATATGCGTATGTATGGTGATATGTAGGTTTGCGAGGTATGCATAAAGGGGTGTCGCATATACACGGGTGAGCATACACTCATGTATACTCACTCACTTATCAGTAACTTATAACAAGCACATAAAGGGACAGGCGATGTGAACATATGACTAGGTCTGAGAATGATGGACAAGTGTATAGTTATTTATAACGTAGGAATATGTGCCCATATCCATAAGCATAGATATAAGTATAAAGATGTGTGCTTGCATATGCATATGCGTAGTACTTAGAGCATGTGCGGGAATAAATGTCTGCATCAGGTGCACATACGCACAAGGGACGGTAATAAATAAAATAAAATCACACATATATGCACTTCTGATACTTAAGCCCAGCTCACGGGAGTACACCCTAATGTAGTCCACACTGTATAGGACCAAACCTGCTGGGGGGGACTTATCAGTGGCATTACGGCTAAATTACTCCCCTCCCACCCAGATGCACCTAAGCCAGTAGGTGGGAGGTAAATCGGCTGTCTACCTCCCAATATAAAAAACACGAACACGCACACAGCAATGGCCCTCATTCCCCGGAGGCGGAGCCCCTGGTTACGGCGGCGATCATGATCGTTCCAGAGCAGGGGGTGCTAAAAATATCCGGGTAAAGACAGGCCGCCCCACCTTGATGAACCTTTGCACATACAATATAAGGACCTTGAGAACTGAATCCGACTTACTAGCTTTACTAGAGGAACTCTTCCATTAAATGGGATGTAGTAGGACTCTGCGAAGTTAGAAGACTAGGCGAAGAGCACAAGTTAATAAATGATTGACACGTGCTCTATTGGAGAGGAAAACCTCAGGGTAGCAAACAGGAATTAGGGGTAGGGTTAGAAAAGAACATAGTAGTTCTATAGTGTAAGCGAAAGAGTGGCTTCAGTAACAATAAAACTAAACACTAGGTACAACTTCAAAATCATTCGAGTCTATGCTCCAACCTGCAGCCACAGTGATGAAATAGAAAGCTTCTATGAAGATATTCATTTAGCCAGCAAGAGAACAAAAAACCATTTCACAATAATTATGGGAGATTTTAATGCCAAAATAGGTAAAAAGACAGAGAGAGAAACCGTAGT